GACAGCACCAGGGGCAGCGGCTTCCCACTGACAGAGGGCAGGGTTAGGCTGGAGATGTGCAAGAAAGTGTGCCTCTGAGGCTGGTGACAACCTGGGCCACGCTGCCCATGGAAGCTGAGGCTGCCCAGTCCCTGGCAGTGTTCCAGGTCAGGTTGCATGGGGCTTGCTGCAATGTGGCCTGGTGCTGCAAGGTGTCCCTGCCCTTGGCAGCAGGCTTGCAACAAGTGTATTGTATAGGGACAGGCGAACTGAAGATTTCTGGATGTGAGGGACAGTAAGACCCTTCCCCGTCACCCTGTAATACGTGATCTATTACCCTCAAGACACGCAACCTCACCTAAGCCAGTAGTTTTCCACTCCTTAGTAATCCCAGGAGACCCTACTTTCTTCCTTTGACGTAGTAAAGTCCACCTTGACTATTTAACCCTATGAGATAACATAATAAACGCCATTTGACCATCCACCACATTGGTGTCTGTGCATGTCTGTGGCCCGAGTGGCCTCGGCCAGGCCAGGCTGCCATGCTGTTCCTTGCAACCAGGTCGCCTTGGCTTTCCCTGAAGGCAACAAACAAGGAATCATGTAAGCCAAGAAATGCTCTCCTTTTCTGGGGCTTCCATGGTACTGGCAGCACAACTAAGAGCCCTTCCTCAGCCTCTGCCTTCAGCAAGCCCCCAGTTTGGACAAAGTCTGAATTCCCTAGCTCTCTTGCTCATGACCCCAGGTTTGCCAAAGCTGTTTTGTCTTAGCCCAGGCAAGAGCTGAAAGAAGCCCTCGTCTGTCTTAATAGACCCCTGAGACGAGCAAAGATGATGAATGTGCAGAGAAGAGCCTATCACCACTACACAACAGCTTCTCTCAGCTGAAAATCACAGAAAATTTGAACACGAAAGTTATGGTTTGGGGTCTGTGTTGTGTTTTGTTTGGAGCCTTTTCTCCCCACAGGACAACCTGTGGCATTTTGCATGTTGCACACTTGTATTGGAGTGGTCCACTCTCAGTGCTGCCTAGATCCAACTCAAAATTGTTCCTTTGCTGTTGCAGAAGATAGATAAATATGATTATCCATAAATAATACAGCCAGGATGAGAACAGTTCTCCCAGCTAGCCAGACAACGCCCCTGCCTTTGGATGGGTCCTGGGGTCAAGCAGATTGTTCCATCTCACCCCCAAAAGATGTATGGTTCACCCCGCACCTCTGTCCCTTCCCTAAAACATCAAGTGCCTGTAACCCCATTGGCCCGAGCCTTGTTCCAGCCCACCTTGAAGGTCCTTGAAAAGGGGGCTTCAAGGGGCCACGCGGTCTCTTGGAACTTCCTCCCCTCTCTTGGAACTCCCTCCCCTCTCTTGGAACTTCCCCTCTCCTTGAGCATCCTTTTGTCTCTCCCCTCCCCCACCCTCTCAAGCCCTGCCACGTGCTGCATCTGGGAGCACGAGGCAGGACCTTTCTGCATCCCCAATAAACCTCATTCTCCAAGAGCAGCCTTGAGAGATCTCTGTCTACATTCACCCAAACCACCCTGGAGAGGCAGAAATTTTCAACACTTTGCCCCTCTCTTTCCTCTGTTATGAAATGTCATTTCAAGGGGTTTATAGGTAACATAACACCATTTCTCTTTTCTCATCTTGTGCTCAGGAACTGGAAGAGCTGCCGATCCCCCTCCCCTGCCCCAGCTTGACCGTAGAAGGTTTCTACTGGAGGGTAACATTGCCGTTCCGTCCCCACTCAGCTGCAGATGACCACTGACCAGCCCCGGCTAGCTCCACCAGTGGTGGATGGACAGCGAGAGGCACTCCCAGCTGGATCCTTGCAGGCTTTAGGGAGTGCCTGAGTTCAAAGGCTGCTGAGCCCAGTGGCAATGAGGAGGTGACTCTCTCTTGGTGATAAATCCAAGTTTATTCGGGCTCTGAGGGAGACCCCCAGAATCCAACAAAACTGAAACAGCTCCAGCAACAGAGAGCAAAGGGGTGCAGTGAACCCTTATAGGGAGGGAGGGGGAAAACAAACCAGCCAATAAAGGAAGGCAAGGGTATGGCTCTCTTGGGGATAGACACCCTGGGCAACCAGTTAGGGAGAGACAGGGGAGGGACCCCAGGCCCTCGTCTGTTGCGGATTATAGATAAATATAATTGTTCATAAATAATACAGCTAGGATGAGAACAGTTCTCCCAGCTAGCCAGATGACACCCGTGCCTTTGGATGGGTCCTGGGGTGAAATGGACTGTTCCTTCCCACCCCCCCAAAAGATATATGGTTCACCCCGCACCTCTATCCCTCCCTTAAAACATCAGTGCATGCAACCCCATTGGCCATGCCTTACTCTAACCCACCTCAAAGCCCCTTTATAAGGAGGCTTCGAGGGGCCACGCGCTCTCTTGGAACTTCCTCCCCTCTTGGAACCTCCTCCCCTCTCTTGGAGCTTCCCCTCTCCTAGAGCATCCTTTTGTCTATCCCCTCCCCCACCCTCTCAGGCCCAGCCATGTGCTGCACCTGGGAGCACGAGGCAGGACCTTCTGCACCCCCAATAAACCTCTTTCCTCAAGAGCAAACTTCAGAGATCTCTGCCTCCTTTCATCTACACCGTGCTGGAGACTGATATTTTCCACACTTGTCCAATCACCCAACGCACTTTGTGGAAGCTTCCAGATAGATGGGAAGGGACGCCAAGTGTCAGACAAGACACCTGGGAGGGGACAGGGGAATGACTAAGCAGTTTTGGGGTTGATAAACACATGAGGGCAGGCGGGAAAACTCAGGGATAAACCAAGGGGGATACAGGGGGGTACATGGGAATGAACCATTAGAGAATGAGAATACAATAAAACGTAAAATACAACTCCACATTAGAGCTGCCGATCCGCCCCCCCCGCCCCAGCTTGACCCTAAAAGGTTTCTACAGTAGGGTAACGTGGTCATGTTGCCAGTGGCTCAGCTGCCAGCACCACTGGCAGAGCCCAGATCTCCTTCCACCACTGCAGGAGCTCTCCAACCCCCATCTTGTCCAAATCTGGAGCGCATTTGAATGTTGGGGTTTTTATCTAGCTGCCTGGATAAATAAACAATCCTATGGCAAAGGCAGCTTGAGGCTGTAATTTAAGAATCAAAGAGCAGGTAGGGACAGGACTGGTTTGAGGTAACCTAACTAACATAATCTAACTACAGGTGTTGTGGAAAGAGGCAGTTGTGATATCCTGTTTTGCTGTGTGTTGTGCCACTTCCATTAGTTTTGGGATCTGATTAATTTGGAAAGAAGGTGGAGTTTTCTTTTTTCTTTTTTTTTTTTTAATTGACAAGATTAATTATAAGAGTGAACAGGTCCCACATCCTGTAGATCTCGTAGCTGTGCAAATAGGAGCACAGTTACTGAATTCAAGGGCTCTGAGTTGCACCTACCTCTAATCACTCCCATATGCAGTCTTTTGTATGTTCTGCTATGTGTTAGTGTTTCCTATCATGTGCTAATTGATTCATTACTTTGTGCTAAGCATACAGTCACGTGCTAGTCATTAACTGTCCCACATGTCAAATTCATTATGTATATGCTTAAATATTGTATCCCCTAGTCTGCCAATCCTTCTTTATGTAATACCACACATATGTTGAAGACCTTCAGACTTAAAACTTCCTGCTCATTAGTTTTGTGTATGATTTGTCAGTTACTTTTCGGAGCTCCTCCTTATTTCAGTTGAGCGACAACTGTAATTAAAGCTGTTGAAGCATAATAAGTGCTTTAGCCTATGGTAATACAATGTGTTTGAGAGGGGATGAAAAGAGTTATTTGAAACAACCAGCATAGTAATGTCATCAAAAATCCTTTGTGGAGTTGAAGTTATGTTAGACTGCAGAAGTTTTACAATAGTTAAAACTTCATAACTGGCTCAGAAAATGTCACGCTGGCAAATAAAATGTAGCTGGGAGGAGGCTGAGTTCCTGTAATCTTTCTGATGAGAAGTTCACAGGTCAGAAATGAGAAAATAGGGAAAGAAGAGTGTGTCACTCTCAAAATCCCAACCTGCAGAATTTTAGAATTATTTTAAAGAATACAGGGATGCACTGGATTTATAATTTCTATAGGAAGAAGATGGGCTTGTTTTGGTACAACTACTTTACACAGCATACTCTAAGATTTAACAGAAACAAGTTGACTTAAGCATACTTGTGTGCAAAACAAAAAAAACCAAAAAACCAAAAAAAAACCCAAAAAAGCCCCCCCCCAAAACCAAACAAAAACAAAAACAAAAACAAAACAAAAAAAAACACAAAAAAAAACCCAAAAAACCCCCAAAAAACCCCCAAAAAACCCAAAAACCGAAAAAAACACCAACCAACTTAACAAACAAACAAAAGGTTCTTCAGAGGTATTTCTACTGTATGTTTGAGATAGGTACAGAATTTTATTTAATCCATTGTACCTGTAGTCCCAATGTTACACAGTTTTAGGTTCTACTATATGAATGCCCACCATCAGCATGGTGTAGAAAGATCTGTGGAATTCAGACGAACCTCATTTCATACATTGTTCATTGCAGGAACTACTGGTCTGGGGGGAAATAGCTGTACCCTCACTGGCTTTTATCTTCCAAGCCCCAAAAGAAGCAGCTGAAACTCCTGTTGCATGTAGATAAGAAATGGCAAGTAAAGAGGCTGGGAGTAAGAGCTGGGTAAAAGGTGTCTCTCCTAGGAAAAGCTAGTGCTTATGCACAGTATGTTGTCTGCCAGGAAGCAATCCCAGTAGAAAAGGAGGCAAATAGTCTTGAGTAAGAGCTTGTTGAACACCTGGCCTGGGGTATCATAGCTGCTGCTCTCTGCATGCCTCCTGCTTGGGTAAACCAGGCACATGGAGATTTCTTTCCCACTTGGCAGTCTTGAAACTCCCAATTTCCGGAGCACAGATGCGTCCTGCAACATAAAGCCTATGGCTGCAGCTGGGCAGACACAAGCACTGCTGGTGTACCAGTGTCTGCAAACCACTGCACGAGGGGGCTCTGGGAGTGTCTGGCTGGGGCTTTTGCCCCTAACATGGGCTCCTTACCTGGTGTGCATTTCCAATTCACACACACAGAAGAGGAATCTCTATTTCTTTATTCTAGTTTGTGCAAAGTAAGGAGTTAGGTGATAACCCACAAAATGCTAGCTCCCTAATCACCAACACTTTACATTATTTATATGTTTTTGCAAACAAAAGTATCAGCATTCATTGGCTAGAAATTGCATAGTTCTCTCTCTCATTAATTAGTATTATATCTTCTTAGCTCAGTTTGGTCAGAGCATGGTGCTAATAACATGAAGGTTGCAGGCTCAATCCCCATATGGGTCATTCACTTGAGAATTGGACCTCTTAATCCTCGTGGGTCCCTTCCAATTCTGAATATTCTGCAATTCTACTGGTTAAGTGATTCTCTCACTTATGTTAATTACTCCACATGTTCAGTCTCCTCCTCCTCTTGAGTTAGTGAGTTTCTAGATTTTGTGGGCAGTGAGTCAGTGTTTTCACTCTTCCCCCCCCGGCCAAAATCACTTTTCACCCAGTTGGCACTTTAGACTGATGAGTTGTCCCTCTTTATTCCTCCTTCTGGCCCTATCTTGGGCGTTCTGCCAAGCATCCTTGTGGTCTGTCAGTTCAGTATTCTATTGTGATTTCGATACATATGTAATCCTATATTCTTTTTTTCCTATTCTTTCTCAACAGTTGCAGCTCCTGAGGCATGTTAAGTGTAATAAACAGGGTTTATTGATATGTAGTGTATCAGTTTGGAAACCTTACATTACCGGGACCACTGCGCTTAACCGCGGGAGGGGGGAAGTTCTTGCCCACGTCCCTGGGGAGGTGCTAGCCCATTGCTCGCCCCGTGCAGCTCTCTGGGTGTTTCCTGAGAGGAAGCTCCCAGCCTCAGCGCCGGCACCAGCTGCCTCTGCCTTCAGCCCGCCCCTGCAGTGCCTTATTGGATTGCCGGCCGAGGGGGTGTTGCCGCCGCGACAGTGACGGGGCGTGCGGGCGGTGATATGCCGGAGCTGCGGAGCGTTGTATAAGAAGGAGCTGCAGGGAGCGGAAGAGAATTAAAAGGGACCACTTTTCTCCTCTGTGAGCTGAAGAGGTTAGTGACTATTACTTAATCCCTGCTAGCTGTAATTAGGATTTGGAAGCAGCGCTTTCGTTTTCTGTTCCTCCCCTCCCCAGGATTGCTCGTGACACCGGCGTTTCCTCCTCGGTTGTGGAGGACTGCGGGAGTCCTGCAAGTCACGTTGTCCTGGCTGCTCCAAAGACACCCTCCACACCAGCGGGGACGGGCCACCACCTGGGGAGGGGGAAGCAGAGAGAAAGGAAAAAAGGGGAAAGCCCTTTGTTTGGAATAATGTCCAGGCTGCAGTGAAGCAGAGTACTAGCCTGTAAATGATGTGGAAGTAGCCAAGTGGCATCTTCGAGTGGCCAGGGCACTGCATGGTGAGAGTGTTAGAGGTCATGTAAAACCTTTCCTAGAAACTGGACTTCTTTTTAAAAGTGCTGAGCTTCCTTCCAATCCTGTGAAAGTCCACTTTTACTGTAGCTATTTGATGCTGCCTTCTGAAACACCGGACCATCAAGCAGGCTGTACCTCGGTTTACTCATGTGTAAAGTGAGAATGAGAATATTTTCCCTTTGTAAAGGGACATGGTGGGGCCATGTTTCAGGCAGCTTTTGGTTGGAGAAATGTCATTATTATGGTCTCAGATATGGTATGGGATCCGTGTATATAACACACTGACTCTTAATTATGTTCTAGTCACAGCTATCACTTATCTCTAGGTAAAAAAAAAAAGAAAAAATATGCATCAAGGGCTCAATCTACCCACAGTGAAAAGACAAGCTCTGCCTTTATATAACTCCTGACATCCTGCTGAACTTTTGTGTTGGAGCTTGTTAAAAAACCCCAAATAACCAGTGTTAATTAGGGCAGCAGTTTAATGAACTGATTTTGTGTGAAACCATTTTTTTCCAATTTCTTGCATTGATTTGCCAAATTATTTTTTGTGGAATAAAGATAGTCTTTCAGCTGTTGGATCTATGGTTACAGATATGATGAACACAGAACGACATTGTGCTAAAAATCAATAACATAGTGTTTGAACATCTTTCTGTCATTTGTGTTGATAAATAAGAAAATGAAGACAAATGTGTTTCAATAATGTAAATCCAACTTGAGGTTTAATCTTCATAATATAAAGAGCATTGGGTTAGTATTTTAAATAATTTTCATCATATATAAGAAAGCCTTAGTCATACTAAAAACTGTCACAAGGGCTGCATACCACTTAGAGAGTAATTATTAATAATTAAATTATAACTAAATATTATTAATGTAATAATAATTGATAGTAAAATACAATTTCTTACTGTTGTGTCAGGAAACTTCCCTTATTCTGGAGTGCTGATTTTTCTGGACTCCTCTTCCTGGGTTTACATCCACATGGTCAAGAAACTTTTTTACTGATCTAAATCTCTCAGTTTCTTTAAAGAGTGAACTGAGTTACTGTTTGTGAAGAACTGGAGTTTAATTCAATTAAGTATGGTTTGTGCTATTCTTAAAGGACTGGCAGTGCTTATTTTGTAGAACTAAAAAGGAGATTCAACCTTTGTTGTTTTCAACTTCTTATTCTTAGTGTCCTCATTATTTTCCCAGTTGTACTAACTGGATGTTTCAATACCCACTCCTCACCCCCCAAACCTAATGAGCCAAAAAGACCACTGCATTAAGGTCTAAGCAACTTCATGTTAAATGTCAAAGGGCAGACTTGTTCTGGGTGGGTTTCTTTTGTCATTATGAATATCTGCTGTATCCACTGACTTTGAAAACTAAGCTCAGCAGAACAGGACCGCTTTGCTCTCTGGACTAAAAATTAACTGACATTGTCAAAGCAAGTGAAGATAAATGGATAAATTAATGATCCAGTTTTCAAATTAAAATGGGAATTGTTTTCCATCTTACACTGTGGTGTCAGGACTTTAGTAAGATGCAGGACTAGAACACACATTGGCATTTTTGCTTTTCAATGATGACTCTAAAGTCACCTGAGTTTGGTCCATCTTGTAGAGGGAATATTGTACTCTATGTTGTGCAGATTAGTTGTAGGTGCCATTTCTACTACTCTGGTCCATTGAAGCTGTCTCTGTACTGCCATCCTTGGCTAGGTAAGTAGAGTCAAGCAACAGGAGATAAAACTAAACAAAGTTGGGAAAAAACTAAAAGAGTTTGGGTGGATGTGGCAGTGGGACAATAATGCCCTGAGGAAGGAGTTCCTGTGTTTTACACAGCAGTATGGTAACATCAACATGTGCAGGATTGTGGATAACTTTAACCTCGAATTTTCAGGCAACTATAATTTTTCTGAAACTTGCAGGTAGAGCTCAGTGTGTTAACATACATTATGCTCATAGTGCACCTTATTAAGTGAGGCATTAAAAAGGTTTCTTCACTGAGCAGGGAAACAGTGGGACTTAGGAAAGAAAAACAGTCTGAAAGCCAAGACACTCTTGCAGTTTATTGCTGTAGTAAAAAAAAAAGAAACAACAAACCAAAATCAACAAAACCCCACTCTGGATAATCTATGCCCTGTTGTAACTTAGCAGAACAAAGGTTGCTGAGGAGCTGTCTCATGCCTCTGGAGCTGGCCTTGAACCTTGGCAAATGTTCTCATGCCTGTTAAAGCCAAAGTGTGGGACTTATATCTTAAAACCTTATAAAATATGTGCAACTATAATAAAAAGATAAATATACATTTGATTTGTTTCCTCTCTACTCTCTAAGGAAGAAGAGCTTTGGCTTCATGTCTAACTGAACTTTAGTGTTCCTTAGACTAATATTTGCAACTGGGAGATCTACTGTGCTAATTAGTAAACATTGCAGAAAACTCACCTGACTGGGAAAGATAATGAAATGCATTTGCTAATCCTGTTCCTCCAGATGAGTACAATCCACCACTTTAACTACATGAGTTGAACAACTAGCATAAAATAGATACATTTTTTTTTTTTCCTTATCATGGCCCTATTAACCAGTTAAAAGGAGCCTGTTTGTGGCAGCTAATGTTCCTGTTATAGTAACTAACCTAAATACTAAATTAAAAGCTGCACAACACTGGCTAATAAATAAAACATAGCTCAAGAAATGTTACTGTGTTTATTAACCTTCCCTCTCAGTGAAATGTACAATGTAGGTACAAAGTAATCTTTATCATCTAGTCATTACCTCTGTTCTATGAATGAGAGGAGAGAAAAGCTGTCAGAAAGAACATGGATTATTGAATAATCCCTAAATAACAGAAATGAAGCAGTAGTACAGGATGTGAGGGGTAACTTGAGACCACAGTCATTCTAGTTAAAACGTCAGGGGTGATTCTTTGCTATGCTAGAAGTGATACAACTTTGTAACCCTTTCTGTTGCTAGGGAAAGCAGCCCTTAGTCGGTATTTACTGTCTCTTGCAGGCTGTGACATGGATTAGCAACAGACTGGTTAGTCTGTTATTTGGTGATGAACATAGAGGTCTCAGTGGTGGCTTGCTCGTACTTGTTTTTGGAGCAATTAGCTGATTTTTCTCAGCACAATTGTGTGCAGCTGGAATTGAGATCAGCATGTTGATGGAGATCTCTCTGTGCTTAGTGTTTGGTCTTGGTGACAGAAGATACAAATGTATGAAGGATTGTGGGGCATGGGTTGTGGATTGCTTGTTTATTTTGGTATTGTTTTTGGCATTAAACCAGATTCATAACATTTGAGTGGAGATGGCAGATGAATTCCTGGTTTTTGTCTTTCTCTAAAGCTTTGATTCTTTAGTGACAAAATTCTGTGTAGGACTCAGATACTCAGATTGGAATGTCATAAGGAGGAATTCTGTACTGTTGATAATTCACTGTTAAGTGATGAGGCTATAAAGCAGAGTGGTACACTTCTGACATTGGAGGTCATCATGGGTTTTGTCTACTTTCATTCTTGTTCAGTGTAAGACAGAGGTAGGCCTGTTTTGGTAAGTATGGAGTACTTGGATTTGCAGTCCTGGAGTGCTGTATCTGTTAAAAACAGTCCTGAGGCATCCGAGATGTCTCATGTTTGTCATCCAAAAGTCAGGATAACTAATCCCAGCAGTTTTGTTTGCCATAGGAAATGTGGTTTTCATTTGGATTTTTTTTAAGTCTATTTTACATTTACTTACTTGCTTAGATAAGTGAAATGGCTATCCATGCATTTAGCCCAGTATTTGCAAATTAAAATGTACTGCCTGTTCTTATATGCCTGTCATCTGAAATGAGACCTTAAGGTTGAGGGGTCTTAAATAAATATTTTCAAAATAAATAGGTGATTTGCCTGACTCTACTTACTGTTTAAAAATAATAATCTTCTGTGATGTATTTCCAACCCGGTCCTTGTCCTGGTGACAGCCTGACCTAGTAATATTCACAATAGAGATACAATAGCGATACAATGAAGACATAGCAAAAGAACCATAAAAATAGCTGTATTATATGGTAATATAAAGGGGGCTTAAAGTGACTGGGCCTTTGTTTTAGTGTAGATAAGAGCTTCTTTTCTCCTCTTGCCTTGCAAACAGGGGATATGGCCATATAATTCTCTAGACTGCTCTGAGGCCAGTTTTTCTGATAAGGCTTCATCAGAAAGGATTCTTCTTTCAGGAACACAGCCTTAATTCCCTGGTATCTTTGAAAAAGGCAGAATTTTGCACCAGGGAAGTGTATGAGGCATCTTTATTCCTTTTTTTTTGTTGTTTTGTTTTGTTTTGTGGTTTTTTGTTTTCTTTTTTGTTTGGTTGGTTTTTTGGGTTTTTGTTTGTTTGTTGTTTTTTTTTTTTTTTTTTTGTTCACATACTCAGGCAGAGAGAGCACCTTTCAGAAACAACTGCTGTTCTGCTGCATGGTACCCATGCCTGTTGCTTGGGATAGCCAGACCTTCCCACCATCAAATGGCCTATAATATCAGAAACAAAATCTTTCTGTCTTTAAGCACAGGAGGGAAAGTCCTCCTGTCATAGGTGCTCTTAAGTTATCAACTCCTAAGGAAGCATGATGGTGTGGATAACTCCAGAGTTGAAGTTACTTTTGGTTAA